TTTTGGAGGCAGAAAACTTCAAAAACATTTCAGGATAATTTTTGAAGTTTTGAAAAGAGATCGTTGAAATTTTCATAAATAAATTTTCATTGGTACTGAAAATTAAGCTAAAAAGTTGTGAAAAAATCAACAAAAAATCCTAGAATATAGATCACGACGCGCTAATTCAAAAAAGCGTGCTCATCGTCCTAGAATTAAATTTTTGAAAATAATCGGTTTGAAATTTTTTTTGCAAAATTTCAAAAAGTGTCATATTTTTAACTGAGTAGTCCGTGAAAACTGCCGTGATTTCTCGAAGAAATAACACCGAAAGTTACTTCTGTTGTTGAAAATAAGTCAAAATTTTTATTTTGAAAATTGTAATTTTGAAAAATTGCCCAAGAATCCACAAAAAATTATGAGAAATAGTTCTAGACGTACGAATGCGTAAAATATTACGTCTTTATATTTCCCGAGCAAGATTTTGGAAATATTCTGTCCAAAAGTATTTTTTTTAAATCCTAAAAACTACCAAATTTAGTTGGACGATTCTGGAAAAGTGGTAGAAATTTTCGAAGAAATTAGGTCGAAACCAACTTCTGGAAATAGAAATTTCTAAAAACATTCGCCTGGATAATTTTTGAAGTCGTTCGAGAAAATGTCGAAATTTTCATAAATAAATTTTCAGTTGTAGTGAAAATTGAGCTTCTGAAAAAGTTGTGAAAAAATTGCCAATAAATTCTACAATATAGTTCTTGACGTGTTAATTCAAAAAATATAGCATGTTCAACATCCTGAAGCAAAATTTTTGGAAATAATCGGTTTGAAAGTTTTTGTTTTTTCAAAATTTCAAAAAATTCTCATATTTCAATGAGGAGTTCGGGAAAATGGTGAAAATTCTCTAAGAAATAATGCCTAAAGTTACTTCTGGAGGTCGAAATCTAAAAAAAAAATGTATTACATAATTTTCGAACGTTGTCAAAAATCAATCAAAATTTTCACACTGAAAATTTGAAGTTTTGAAAAAAATGTTCAAAAATACACAAAAAATTATGAGAAATAATTCTTGACGTACTGATGCGGCAAATTTGCGTCTTTATGTTTCCCGACCAAGATTTTGGAAATATTTAATTTGAAAGTCATTTTTTTATATCCTAAAAACTGCCAAATTTCGTTGAACGTTTCTGAAAAAATGGTAGAAGATTTCACAAAAACCACGCCGAACTTAACTTCTGGAAGTCAAAATTTTCAAAAATATCATTCTGATTAAGTAATTTTTGAAGTAAGAAAACGTCGAAATTATCATAAATAGTTTTTCATTCGTTGTGAAAAATTAAACTTTTGAAAACTTCTAAAAATATCAACAAAAAATTCTGGGACAAAAATCTCGACGGCTCATTCGAAAAATGTAGCACAATCTTCGAAATAATCGGTTTCAGTCTTTTTTTTTCAAAAATTCTGAAAGTTGTCATTTTACTGAGCGATTCTGGAAAAATGGCGGGAGTTTTCAAAGAAATGAGACCGAAAGTTACTTCTAGAAATCGAAATCTACGAGAAAATCTTACTAGACAATTTTCAAACGTGGTCAAAAATACTTAGGTCGAAATTTTCACACTGAAAAATTTCACTTTCAAAAAAAAATTCTAAAAGTCCACGAAAAATTCATGCATAAAATAGAGTCTCTTAATGTTAAGCTCTGGAGACCGACATCTTCAAAAATATCTTAAGTCATTTTTGAAGTTGGTAGAGGAAATTTTGAAATTTTCATAAATAAATTTTCAATCATATTAAAAAATTGAGATTTTAAGAAATTTGTGAAAAAAATCAACAAAGAAATCTGGGATATAGACATCGATGTGTTAATTCGAAAAGTATAGCTTCTGGGAGCAAAATTTTAGAAATTTAAGGTTTGAAAATCAATTTTTTTACAAAAATTTGAAAAATTATCGTATCTCACTGAGCCATTCTGGAAAAATGGTAGGAGTTTTCGAAAAAATCAAGCTAAATTTAACTTCTGGAGGTCGATATCTTCAAAAATATCTCCCTAAGTAATTTTTGACGTTGGCTTGAAAAATTAAGCTTTTAAAAAACTCGTGAAAAAATGAACAAAAAGTCTGAGATATGGATTTCAATGAGCTAATTCGAAAAATATAGCGGGCCCATTGTTCTGGAGCAAAATTTAGGAAATAATCGGTTTGAGAGTTATTTTTTCAAAAATTGTAAAAATTACCATATTTCACTGAGTAGTTCTGGTATAATAGTGGCAGTTTTCAAAGAAGTGAGATCAAAAGTCACTTCTGGAGGTGGAAATCTAGAAAAAAATCTTACCAGATAATTTTTGAAAGAATTTACCAAAAAAGCATTTAAAAAATTTCAGAAATATATCCGGACCTACTGATTCGAAAAATATTTTTAAGTCAAGTTTTTTAAACACTAAAAAGTGCCATATTTCCTTTGATGATTCTGAAAAAAATGAATAGTGCGTTTTTTTTTTAAATTGAGACCGAAAATAACATGTGGAGGTCAAAATTTTCAAAAACTTCATCTAGCTTTTGAAAAAGTTGTTAAAAAATTGATAAAAAATTGTGTGATATCAGGTCTTGACGTACAAATTCGAAAACTATAGCGGGTTTATGATCCCGGAGAAAAATTTTGAAAAAATTAGGTATGAAAATCAATTTTTTTTTCAAAAATTCTAAAAGTTATCATATTTTACTGAGCGACTCTGGAAAATTGGTGGTAGTTTTCAATGAAATGGGAAATAGAGGTCGATCTTAACAAAAAAAAAAATATTTCGATCATTTTCAAAAGTGATCGAAAATAGGTCGAAATTTTCATTTTGAAAAATTGAAGTTTTGAAAAAGTTGCCTTAAAATCCATAAAAATTGTGAAAAAATGATATACACGTACTGCTTCAAAAAATACAGCGTCTTTATGGTTCCCGAGCAAGATTTTGGACATATCGGGCTTGAAAATCACTTTGTTTTTGAAATCCTAAAACTGCCATATTTTGTTGGATGATCCTGGAAAAACGGTAGAATTTTTTTTAAAACTGCCACATTTCCTTGGACAATTCTGGAAAAATGGTAGGATTTTTGTAAGAATTGAAGCCGAAAGTAACTTCTGGAGGTCGAAATCTTCAAAATAACTTCTTTGGTGATTTTTAAAGTTAGGTCGAGGAAATGTCGAAATTTTCATGAAAAGGGAGTATTAAAAAATTGAGCTTTTGAAATAGGTGTAAAAAAAATAAGTAAATCGACATACAGGTTCGAAAAATACAACATGTTTATGGTCCCGCAACAAAATTTTGGAAATACTCGGTCTGAAAGTGTTTTTTTCAAAAATTCCAAAATTTGCCATATTTTACTGAGCGGTTTTGGAAAAATGGTGAGAGTTTCCAAAATTTACATATTGAAAAACTGAACTTTTGAAAAAGTTGCCTAAAATTGTATTTTAACTTCCGAGCAAAATTTTGGAAATGTTACTGTTTTTTGGTCATTTTTTTTAGATTTTCGAAGCTTCAAAATGTTTGAAGTTGGTTAAGGAAACGTCAAAATTTCCATAAAGGGGAAGTATTGACAAATTGAGCTTTTAAAAAAAATTGCCTAAAATGAACAAAAAAATCTAAAACAGATACAGACGGACTGATTCGAAAAATATAGCACGTTTATGGGCCCGGAGCAGGATTTAAGAAATATTCGATTTGATTTTTTTTTATCCTAATAAATGCCAAATTGATGAACACAAATGTACCTCCGGGAGATTTATATCCACAGAAAAATAGAGTATTAAAAAATTGAGCTTTTGAAAAAGTTGCGGAAAAATTCACAAACAATTCTGGGACACAGAACTCAGATTAAAAAAATATAGCGTGTTAATGGCCCTTCAGAAATATTTTAGAAATATTTGATTCGAAGGTCAATTTTTTTTCGATAATCATAAAAGTTGCCATACCGCTCAGTGAACAGTTCTGGAAAAATGGGGAGAGTTTTCAAAGAAATGAGGCCGAAGATTACTTCTGGAAGTCGAAATTTGCAGACAAAAAAATTATTAGATAATTTTCGAACCTGGTCGATAAAAGGTTAAAATTTTCAATTTCTCCATAAAATCCTAAAAACTGCCATATTTTCTTGGATGAGTCTGGAAAAATGGTAATCTTTTTTTTAAAAATTGAGGCTGAAAGTAACTTCTGAATTTTGATAAAATGAAAAATGTGCTTTTGAAAAGTTGTGAAAAAAATCCCCAAAATTTATTTATGGTCACACAGAAAAATTTGGTAAATATTCGCTTTCAAAGTCAATCTTTTTTTCAAAAATTCGAAAGTTGCCATATTTCTCGTAGCAATTCTGAAAAAATAGTAGAAGTTTTTAAAGAAATGAGACCGAAAGTAACTTCTGGATGGCGAAATCTAGAAAACAGTCTTATTATTATTATTAGACAATTTTGGAAAAAAAGTCGAAATTTCCTTACTGAAAAATTGGACGATCTCGAAGAAATATTCGATTTGAAAGTAATTTTTCTTGTAATACTAATAATTGCCAAAATTCATTGAGCGATTTTGGAAAAATGCAGTTTTTTCGAAAAAATGAACCCAAAAGTAGCTTCTGGAGATTTACATCTACAAAAAAAGTCTTTAGGTGTATTTTAAAAGGTGTTAAAAAAATGGTGAAAATTTCACAAAAATTCTAGTTTATAAATATAGCAACAAATATTGTTGTAAGTTTTTAGTATAACTGCAACCACCACAACAGTGCTATACTGATGTTACATAACTGTAATACAACACTATTTTGTAACGTAATGCAAATTTCGTTATAATTTTGTCGTGTAATATAAATATAACAACTCTGTTTTTGTGATGCCTAAATAATTATTATTAGTCAGTATTTAGTCTTGATAGAGCAATATCAGACAATAGTATACTACTAGTTTCCGTATCAATGGATGAATTAGCTAGTGGAAAGTTTTAGCGTACACTCATAGGATTTTTTTAGCGGACAGGTAAAATTAGAATGCAGCCACACGTTCTCCTCTATATTCAAATAAATCCATCAAAAACAGCAAGAACTTAAACTAACATAAGTATTCCTACCGATAATCAGTCAACAGCAAAACCTAATACTAAACTTAAAACTCCATCAACCCCTCATCTATCACAAGTCGGCAAATTCACCGGGAAGAACACATTCAGCTCAATCAGCGACGCAAACACCAAAAACGTAATGTACATGAAAAGACACGTCAATCCCACCTTCCAGTTCAACCTAAAATCACAAAATTACCCCACCTCCTCGGCCATCAGTCCCACTTACTTGAACTTATTAAACGCCACACTGAGGTAGAACAAAACCAGCGTAGACAACAAAGAAATAGCGCTGTAGTTCAACCCCGCCGAATTAATCTTGATGTACCTCTTCCCCGGAACCTTCGGGTAATAACCCGTCTTAATGAACCACGGCAGACCCAAACACAGCAAAATATCGAAAGTATTCGACGCTATCGAGCTGCTCACCCCCATCGATCCATACCCTTAAATAATAAACAAGATTTAATTCCGAACGAAATACCTGGAATATACTTTACCTTGATTTGTAACTATCACGCTGGATACGGCCTCGGGCACACTCATCCCTGCTGCCAAAAACGTTAGACCCATCACAGAATCAGGAATATCTAATGTATCACCTAATAAAACATTGATGGGTTTATTTACGAGCCCAGGTACGAAAATAGCTTACCTATGGCGGTGATCAGCCACGATATCATGTAAGAGGCTACACCGATCCAGAAAATGCACATGACGAAGGTGATTACGAAGAGGCGGGGGTATTTGCGGCAGTCGGGGGTGGTGATGTACAAGAGGAAGGAAACGGGCCAGGTCAGGACCCACCAGATTTGGCCCCTGCGGCTCTGCCCCTTGGGCCACTCCCAGATTTTAGTCGACTCCTCTGCAAAGAACGAACGATCGATAAAGTCAAGGTGGATCGCAAATACGTGGAGAAATATGCATGATTTATTGCTATTTAGTTTATGAGGTGTCAATATTTGATGAGGGAAGTTGGGTGGCAACGAATGGATTTTTTAGATGCGGGTGTTAAATATTCAGGTGTCGGAGAGCAAAAACTATTAATCATGTTATGCATTAATTTATTTGTGAATATATTTATAATCGAACGAGTTCTAAAACATCCGAACAATTTATTTAATCGTTTATTTCCCCCCATTAACGCACTCAAATAAACAAATTCGCAATTTCGACAACTTTATTTGTGGTTGTAGTAGTGGCAAATGAACCCGAAAAATTCAACTAACTCATTTTTACGACGATCCGTCATGTGCGAAGAATTCAAACAGAAAAATAAAAGCTACTCATAATAATCACGCTTTTCAACTTTCAAACAAACTCACCCAAGTCTTCGCAATCTTTTAAGGTAAATTCCGCTTCTAGAATCTCATTCACTTCGTTGGCCTTCTGCTCGCCTCTGATCAGCAAGGGAGTCGTTTCGGCGATAATTTCCTGATAATGGCCTTTTCTGCGACATTTAGTCACCAGTCGATTGGCAAGCCTCATTAGAGGATTATTGAAAAACATTACTAAAACATCAATTCTGTACTCGTGCCCACGACTCAATAGCGAACTTACTCAGGATATAGATGGCGTAGACGAGAATCAACGCGAAGGCTTCGTACAAGTAGATCCTTCCATCCCGCAGGAAACTAATGAGGAGGATAACCGAAACCCCATACATCATGCTATCCCGGCTGATCGGCCACCATTCCAAGTACACAACCTGTTGAAACCAGGATGAATAGGGAGCGATTTTATTTAATTTTTTACGGTGTACCATGTTGGCAAAAAGGCCACAACATGCAGGAACAGCCAGGACGTTAAATACTGCTGATCCTACGACGGCTCCGACGCCAATATCGCCCTCCGTGACAAAAGTGCCGACGCAGTTAATAAATAACTCTGGACTAGAACTGGCCATGGCCATAAAAGTGGCTCCTGTCACGTCTTCCCTCATATGTAAACCTGCGACATTCCATTTTAAAAAATTCGACTAGTGTAACTGTGATTAACTCACTATCACAGAACTTTTTAATTGCAGGAACGAAGTAGTCGTCACAAACTATAGCTAAAAGTGTGAACAAGTAGCATGCTAATAGGACGTGAAGGGCGATCCAGCCGTTCTGGCGCTGGGCTCGGGTGAAGCCGTCCGAAGGGAACTCGTTAATGGCAGCCGGAGTGCAGTTGTAGCCCTTGACGAGACCCAGGAGGTGGCGGCCGGGGTGGTGGCTGAAGTCTGGAAGACAACAACGTTATTGTTATGACTATTAACATATAATAATTTTTTTTTTAATTTTTTACACAAAAATATTTCAAAAATTCTTAAGAGACTTCTGGTTTTTAGAGAAAAATCTATTGTATTGTTAAAGTTACGAACAAATTACATAAGAAGCATTTTTCCCAATTATTTACTTGTATATTATAATATGTTTTATATTATTTAGAATCTCAGTTTTTTCTCTTTAAAATTTGATTTATGGAATTGCAATTTTCTTAACATCTGTAGATGGAATTCTTGTAATATTTATAATCTGTGGAATTTTTATAGTATCTAGGTTTTGTGAGACCTATGAGGTCCTAGCATTTCTGGTTTCTTTAGAATCTCGAAAAATTTTTAAAATTCCGAAATCGCTAGAACTGCTACAACTTCTAATATTCGTAGTAATTCTGAATATCTGGAATTTTTGGTATGTCCATAGTCATTTGAATCTCAAAGTTCTCACAGATATCTCAAGAATCTCAGGTTTTTGTCGAATAAGTTTGAAGTTTCTAGCAGCTAAAGAAGCATCACTGGGAGAACTGAAATCTCTAAATAGAATTCTTGGAATAGTTATAACCTCTAGAATTTCTGTGGTATCTAGTATCTTTGAGCACTCTAAGATTGAAGGATTTCTAGGTTCTTCAGAATCTAGAAAACTTATAGAATTTTAGGATCCTTAAAGTCTTAAAGATTTGTTTGACTATAAATATGAAGATATCTTTATATCTTAATATTTGGATTTTTTGAAATGTCTGTAATCCTTGCGATTTCAAACTTCTTAAGGATCTCTGTATATCAGATGTCTCGAGAATTCCAGAAATCTCAAAGGGATTTATATTTATCTTTGAGATAACTGAGATTCTAGGATTTCTAGATTCTTTAGAATCTCCAGAATTTCTATTATTTTCTGGACGGAAGAATTTCTGAAATCTCTGAATCCTTTTTAAGCCATCTGGGAAAATTGAAATGTCTGAAATTTCTGACTAGAATCCTTGGAATAGTTATAATCTTTGAAATTTTTGTGTTGTATAGGATTTTTGAGACCTCTGAGGTTTTAGGGTTTTTGGATTCTTTAGAATTTCGAGAATTTATAGTATTTTAGGATCCCTAAAATTTTAATGGTCTGTTATATGTCTAGAATTTCTATTATTTCTAGGACGCATGAGTTTTTAAACTTTCTGAATCTCTAAAATTTTTAGATTCTCTGGAATCTTTGCTGTCATTTAAATGGAAATTGCGTGCTAAAATCTAGAATATTTATAATATTTAGAACTTCTGTAGTACTTACTTTTGCTTCAGGATGATGAACACGCTATATTTTTTGAATTAACACGTCAAGAACTATATTGTAGAATTTATTGGCAACTTTTTGACAACTTTTTTCAAAAGCTTAATATTCACTACGAATGAAAATTTATTTATGAAAATTTCGACGTTTTCTCGAACGGCTTCAAAAATTATCCAGGTGAATGTTTTTAAAAATTTCTACCTCCAGAACTTGGTTTGGACCTAATTTCTTCGAAAACTTCTACCACTTTTCCAGAATCGTCCAACTAAATTTGGCGTTTTTAGGATTTAAAAAAAAATATTTTTGAACCGAATATTTTCAAAATTTTGCCCGGGAAATATAAAGACGTAATATTTTACGCATTCGTACGTCTAGAACTATTTCTCATAATTTTTTGTGGATTCTTGGTCAATTTTTCAAAATGAAAATTTTGACTTATTTCCAACAACATTCGAAAATTATCTAATGAGACTTTTTTCTAGATTTCGGCCTCCAGAAGTAATTTTCGGTCTTATTTCTTCAAGAAATCACGCCATTTTCCACGGACTGCTCAGTCAAAAATATGACACTTTTTGAAATTTTGAAAAAAAAAAAATTTCAAACCGATTATTTTAAAAAAAATTACTCCAGGACGATGAACACGCTTTTTTGAATTAGCGCGTCGTGATTTGTATTCTAGGATTTTTTGTTGATTTTTTCACAACTTTTTCAGCTTAATTTTCAGTACCAATGAAAATTTATTTATAAAAATTTAAACGTTCTCTCTTCAAAACTTCAAAGGTTACCCTGAAATGTTGTTGAAGATTTCTACTTCCAAAAGTTAGTTTCGAACTATTTTCTTTGAAAGATTTTACCATTTTTACAGAATCGTCCAATGAAATTTGCGAGCTTTCAGGATAAAAGAAAAAATTCAAACCGAATTTTTCCAAAACATGATATGAAAATTTCCGCCTATTTTCCACCACATTATAAGATTTTGATCTCCAGAAGTAACTTTCCGCGAATTATTTTTTGAATTATCACGTCGAGATCTATATCCCAGAATTTTTTCAAAAGTTTTTCAGAAGCTTAAAATATGAAAATTTCGACCAACTTCAAAAATTACTTAAGGAGATATTTTTGAAGATATCGACCTTTAGAAGTTAGATTTAGCTTAATTTCTTCAAAAACTCCCACCACTTTTCCAGAATGGCTCAGTGAGATACGATAATTTTAGGAATTTTTGAAAAAAATTGACTTTTTAACAAAGAATTTCTAAAAATTTGTTCCCAGATGTTGAATACGCTATACTTTTCAAATTAACACATCAATGTCTAGTACGTCGAGATCTATTTCTTAGATTTTTTAATGGCTTTTTAGGCGACTTTTTCAAAAATTCAATTTTTCAATATGAAAATTTCTACGCTTTTCTTATCGTTATCTAATAAGATTTCTTTCTAGATTTCGACTTTTAGAACTAATTTTCGGCCTCATTTCTTTGAAAACTCCTACTATTTTTCCAAAATCGCTCCGTAAAATATGGCAATTAAAAAAAAAATTAAACCGATTATTTTAAAATTTTGTTACAGGACAATGAACTTGCTAAATTTTTCGAATTAGCGCATAAAGATCTAAATCACAAAATTTTTGTTGATTTTTTCACTTTTCCAAAAACTGAATTTTTAATTTTTTCAGGTTTCAACTTCCAGTAGTTGATTTCTTCAAAAACTTTCTCCAGAATCGTCCAAGGAAATTTGGGAAATTTTTGGCTTTAAAAAAATTAATTTCAAATTGAATATTTTCAAAATCTAGTTCACGAACTATTTCTCAGAATTTTTTATGGATTTTTTGGGCAATTATTTCAAAAATTGAATTTTCAACATGAAAATTTCAACCTATATATTTTCGACCAGATTCGAATATTATCTGATAAGATTTTCTGCTAGATTTCGACCTCCAGAAATAAATTTCGGCCTAATATTTTTCGAATTATCACGTTTTTGTTGATTTTTTCACGAGTTTTTCAAGAGCTTAATTTTTTAATACGAATATGAAATTTTTGACGTTTTCTTGGCCAAGTTTAAAAATTACCTAAGCAAATCTTCTTGAAGATTTAGACCTCCAGAAGTTAGATTTGGCCGAACTTCTTCGTAAACTCTACGCTATATTTTTCGTATTAGTACATCGAGATCTATTTTTCCTAATTTTGAATGGAATTTTTAGCAATTTTTTCCAAAAGTAAGTTTTTTCAATATGAAAATTTCTACCTATTTTCGACCACGTTCGAAAAATGCCATATGTAATTAAATTTATTAGTAGATGTCGACCTCTACAACTATTTTTTCGAATTAGCACGGCAAGATTTATATCCCTGATTTTTTTGTTGATTTTTCAAAACCTCAATTTTCACTTTTTAGGAATAATAATTTCGACGTTTTCTTGACCAACTTCAAAAATTACCCAGGCACGTATTTTTGAAGACTTTGACCTCCAGGAGTCAGTTTCGGCCTAATTTCTTAAAAAATTTCTACCATTTTTTAGAATCGTCCAATGAAATTTAGCAGTTTTTAGGATTAGAAACAAAATTGACTTTCAATCGAATATTTAATTTTATTAATAATAATAATATTAATAATAATAATAATAATATTTCTAAAATGTTGCTCGGGAAACACAAACAGGCTATATTTTACGCATCAGGACGTGTAAATTAATTTCTCAGATTTTTTTATGGATTTTTTCGAAAGTTCAATTTTTCAAAATGAAAATTTTGACCCTTTTTCAACCACTCTTGAAAATTATTTATTTAAGAAAATTTTTTTGTAGATTTCGATCTCCAGAACTAAGTTTCGGCCTTATTTTTTTGAAAACTCAACATTTTTCCAGAATTGCTCAATGAAATATGACAACTTCTGGAATTTTGGAAAAAAACTGACTTTCAAACTGAATATTTCCAAAAATTTTGCTCCGGAACCATGAACACCCCGGAATGTTTCATGGATTTTTATTCAACTTTGTCAAAAGCTCAATTTTTCACGAAAATTTCGAGCTTTTTTCGACAGTAATCTAAAACTGTCGAAAGAGGTGGTTTTTGTAGATCCCGCTTTAGTTTTGCACACTATGTGATAACAATTACTTATAATCTCTAGAAGTTTTGGATCCCCTGGAATCTTCATAATCTCTTATTTCTCTGATGCATCTAATAACTTTAGGAGTATCTCAAATATTTATTTTGGAATCTCAGGAGCTGCTACAATTTCTAGTATCCACGCAACTTCTGAAAATATAGAGTTCTTAGAATCTCTGTAATCCTTTCAATTTCAAAGTTCTCAAGAATCTCTGCATATCAGATATTTGAAGAATTCCAGAAATCTCAAAAGTGTATCGCTGGGAGCACTGAAATCTCTAACTAGAATCTTTGGCATAGTTATAATCTCTACAATTTCTGTGGTATCTTGCATCTTTGAGGCCTCTGAGATTTTAGAATTTTTAGGTTCTTTAGAATCTCGAAAATGTATAGAATATTAGGATACTTAAAGTCTTAAGGATTTCTTTGACTATAAGTATACCTAGAATCTCTATATATTAATTTTTAGAAATTTTGGGGTGTCTATAATCCTTGCAATCTCAAAGTTCTTAAGTATCTCTCTATATCAAATATCTGGAGAATTCCAGAAATCTCAAAGCACTTTGGAGTTTCTGGCATCTA